TTAAAGTTCAAATGGAAAACATTTGCAATAACTGATTGGAAAACAGAAAAAGAAGGGCAATGAGGATGAAATAGCCTTACTAGGTTTGAAAATATACAGTAAAGTCTAAATAATTAAAAGAATGAGTTATTGTCACAGTTACACTAGTGGAACGAAATAGAGGATCGGAGATAAATCTAAATACACACAGGAATTTAGTATTTGATAAAGGCGTCATCTCAAATCAGTAGGGGAAATAGTAATAAATGGTATTGAGACAATTAGCGATTTAGAAGAAAGATAAACTTGGCAAACTTTACATATGAAATATTAAAACTATAAAGTTACAAATGAAAACATGAGTGACTTTCTGTATAATCTGGAGTTGAGAAGACCTATCTAGCTGTGACTTAAAATCCAGAGGCCATAAAGTAAAAGACTGATATATTTGACGACCAAATTAAAAAAACAAACCTTATGTGGTAAACAAAATAAAGCAAAAGCAAAAAAAAAAAAAAAAAACAGCACCATAAGGAAAGTTAAGAGCCAAATGATGCCCTGAGGAAACACTTTTACAATATATAAAATCAAGTGTCAATCTCTCAGGAGAACCATTTAGTAGAAAATGGGGTAGACAGGAGCAGAGAGTTCACATGTAAAGCTTCATTACACATTTAGTACAATTGTTACTCTCATTTGTAATAAAGGAATTGAAAAAAACTACTGTGATTTTAGTCCTTTCCTTTTAGAGTGGCAAAAACCCAAACATTGAATGACAACACTTCACTATTAAAGTGAGTGAAATGGTACAATCTCCATGGAAGGTAATCTGGCAGTATCCCAAAATTATCTTTGTCTCTGTTTTGACACAGTAGTTCCACCTGCAGTATCATTAACAGATAACGATTAAATAAGGTATAGTATATTTACTAGGAATGTGTGGAGTGGGAAATAGGATAGTTGAAGAAGGATGGGACCTAGATTTCTTTGTGTATGGTTTTTAATATTGTTTCGACTTTTGAACCATATAACACACTACTTCCATTCAACTTAAAATTTTAAAAAGTTAACAGAACAAGAAAATGAGTTAAAAATTCACGGGAAAGGCTTTTATAAACTGATACTATATAAGTGCTGGTTATTTATTTGAATTTCAGTTGTGATACTGAATCTGGAACATGGAATATGGTTATGTGTTCACATTAAAGATTTTAATTCCCCATGCCTACCTTTCTCCTACTCTCTCCTTCTAAATAATTTAGTCCTAAAACCATTAGATAGGGCTCAATACCACCGATGTCAGGTGGTAGAGGTCTGGGTGGACTAGAGCAGAGTATCAGAGCCCAAGTAGGTTGGGAAGGCTCTCTGCATAGGTTGTTGGCTGACACAGGGTATCAGAGCCCAAGTAGGATGAAGATGACATTCACCCTGGACATCATCCATGCAGGTAAGAGAGGGCCGGGGGAAATGAGATAGTGGTTTCATATGAGGGATTTGATAAAATACATATATTTAAGGACAATGAGAGGCATGTTTTTCTCAATGTTAGAGAAGGGAGTTATAAACTAGAAAGAAGGGAGAAAACTAGAAAGAAACCCCTGTGGATTAGAATTGGAGATACTGGTGTGAACTTAACGTTTATATATATATATATATGTCCGCACATATATATATACACAACACAATAAATGGTGATGTAAGCGTGTGTATGTATGTAGACACACATATACTCTCTAGCTCTGTCCACTGAGAGGGCCTAGGAACAACACCCCAGTATAATGAGCATACCTAGCATCTAGATCTTGTCTAAAATTATGTTCTCCACTAAAAGGAACCGGGGCCCGTTGGAGAACTGACTCGTCCTTGGGCTGGGGCAGGAAAAGAAAAAGATAAACCTGGAACTTCTGTTTCTATTAAATACATTTTTATTGATTTTAGAGAGAGAGGAAGGGAGAGAGGGGTAGAGGGATGAGAGAGCACCATCAATTGGCTACCTCCTGCATGCCCCCTACTGGGGATTGAGTTCACAACCTGGGCATGGGCCTTGACTAGGAATCGAACCAGTGACCTCTTGGTTCATGGGTCGACACTCAACCACTGAGCCACCCTGGAGGGGTAAACCTGGAACTTCTTTTGTTAAAAGTTTAAAGAATGATGGCAATAGGTCAAAAGGATATAGAAGTCAGTTTGAAGGGGCTCACTCAGGGCCAAATCAGGAAAACTTTAGCATAAAAACAAATAATGATAGTAGCCATATTACAACTTGATGATTAAAATAGGAAACCATAGTGATATAAATGAATAAATTGAAAGTTTGATGAGGAACAGCATATTTGTAGCATATAAGTGTAAACAACATAAGGTTTTGTAATCCCTGTGTCCAAAATATTAATTACAAAGGAGAAAGGACTATCTTTACAGTGAAGATTCTTGATAGGCACCACCTTAATCATATGGTCATCAATATCAAGAGTATCATCACTGCAACAAATCTAAATCATGCTACATGATAAGATTTAGTGAGAAGAACAGTGTTACTTCTGTGATATTACATCCCAGAATGTATAGCCTGAATTTTATAAGGAAACATTAAAAAGAAATTTCAGTCTGCAAAATAACTGCCTTATAATCTATAAAAGTGTCAGGGTCATGAAAGTTGAAGAGAGACTGAGAAACTTCCACACTGAAGGAGGCTAAAGAGATATAACAAATAAATGCAATGCAGGATTCTGAGCTAGATCTTTTTGCTTTTCGTAGGACGATGTTAATTAGACAACTGGCCAAATTTTAATGGTTTCTGAAGATTAGATGGTTAGAATGTATTGATGATTTCCTGAATTTTTGACTATATTGTGGTTACGTAGGGGAATGTCCTTGTTTGTAGGGTATACACACATTAAAGTGTTCAGAGTTTGTCAGGTAGTGAACTTACTTGTTTGGTTCAGAAAAAATTATTTGAATTGAACTTGCAACTTTTTCGTGATTGTTTGAAAAATGTAGAAAAATAATCCATTTGTAAAAAGCTCATTTTTTTTAAAGAAAGTGATGTTCGTAACTTATTTCTTATGCTTAAGTAGGGTATTGTTAGTTTTTGTGGCTTAAAAATAAAGCATTCTGTGATTTTCCTTAGGAATAAAGGTAAAAAAGTACGAAAAGAAAACAAAAACTTTTTTGCCCTACAATTGTTCTCATAGAAGGCTTATGTCTACGCGAGGGTTGCTGACTGTTCCTCTTCTTTCATTAGACCTTCTTCCACTTAAGTTATTTGGTTTCAAAAAAAAGCCATGACATCAAAATGGGAGAGAGAAAAGACATTGGACAACTGAGGAGTTAGTGGGAGAAAGAGGTGTCGTGTGTTTGTGCGCGCCACTTGTGTGTGTGTTGGTGGGAGAAAGAGTGTGTATGTTGTGGGAGAAAGGTGGCATATGTGTATGAGTGTGAGTGAGCTTTTTCTGTTTTTAAAATGTTTTTATTGATTTCAGGGGAGAGGGGAGGAAGAGAGAGGAGGAAGGGGGAGAGGGAGAGAAACATCAGTGATGAGAGAGAATCATCGGCCAGCTGCCTTCTGCATGCCCCCTACTGGGGATCGAGCCCGCAACCCGGGCATGTGCCCTGGCCGAGAATCGAACCATGACCTCCTGATTCATGGATTGGTGCTCAACCACTGAGCCATGCTGGCTGGGCTGAGTGAGCTTTTTTGTTTATTTGGGATTTTTTATTTTATTTTTTTTAATTTTCAAAATATTACAGATGTCCCTTTTTCTCCCCATTGACCCATTCCACCCCGCCCCACCCCTCTCCCCAGTCCCTCACCAACCATTTTCTGTGTTCTTGGGTTATGCATATATTCCTATAAGTTCTTTGGTTGATGACTTCCCCCTCCACCAACCCACCCCCCTCCATCCCTCTGAGATCCGTCAGTCTTATCCATGCTTCCATGTCATTGAATCATTTCTGTTCATCAGTTTATTAATAACTTCTTTAGATTCCACATATAAGTGAGATCATGTAATGTTTGTCTTTCTCTGCCTGGTTTCTTTCATTTAGCATAATATTCTCTAGCTCTCTCTTTACATTTTTGATTAGAGATAATTTGGAATGACCAGATGCTCTCTTTTACAAGACCTTTGGTCTTCCAAAAATTGTGATGTGAGTCACATTACTTCTTCTGAAAACCTTTCTGAGGTCTGTTTTATGGAAGAATGAACATACTGGTAATTGTGATAAAGCACTGGGATGCTTTTAGGAATATCACAGACCTTGGTGGACTGCAACTTTGGTAGTTTTGAGCAGTGAAAACTCAGGAACTTGTTGGGGAGGGAGTGGAGAAAAGAAAAAGGAACAGGCATAAGTTCTTCCATACTAGACTGCACAACCTGCTTGTCCTAAGGTTAGATCTTATTAACTTTTAAATTATTCAATATGTTTTTATTTCAGAAGATTAAGTTTATATGTATGTACATATAGTGAAATATAAAACTTATTTGCGTGTTTCCTTCCACCCCTGCGTCTCTCCCTAGAAGTTTTTCTCCATAAAATGTTACTTATGTTCACTTGTAATGGGTGTATTATGTTTGACTTAATAAGTATCTTTAATTTTGGTTTTAGTTTCTAATATGGGAAAATATTGGTAAACAAAAGGCCTTTATGGTCCTCAGTAATTTTTTAAGGGCATAAAGGGGTTTTGATACCAAATAATTTCAAAACTGCTGCAGTATATTTATTAAGTCACTGGTAATGAACATTGTATAGTCCATAGTAATATCGAAAAAAAACCACGATTTAATAATGTTGGTGGAAAAACTACAATACAAACTCCACAAGTAATTATAGTTAATGAGATGAAGAATAGAAAACAGTGTTGGAGAGAATATGATAAAATGCAAATAGTTGCTATATTAAGGTTATAGTATTTTGAATTATTTCATCCTTGGTTTTTCTAAGGTTTTTATGCTATAATTAAATTTGTGTATGGTTAAAAATCAGTTAAAATATGAATGGGGATAATATCTCTATTTCAGAAACTCTGTAGTGATGCTCAAGTTAAAGTCTTTGGGAAATGCTGCCAACTGAAACCTGGAGGAGACAGTTCTTCCTCTTTAGATAGTTCTATTACTTCATCTTCTGATGTTAAAGAACAGTGTCCTAAGTACCAGGTAAGATCACTGATATCATTTACTTATTCATTCATTCATAAGTATTTTTGAGTACCTATAATATGTTGTGCACTGTTCTAGGGACTGGGGATATAACATGGACTAGTTTTTACCCTCCTGAAGCTTACATTGTAGCTGGCGAGGCAGATAATTTAACAAGTAAGTTTATGAACTTTGGTAAATCTTAGGACAGAAAAGTATGGGCATAGGTAGCAGGGGTATTTTCTTCACCTTTTATTTCCCACTTCAGCTTTTTTGTGCTACCAGAATAATTTCTTACTTTATATACTTTTAAATTATTTAAATATGAAGATTAATATAAAATAATTATACAGTTTAGCTATAATATGAAATTAAAGTTTGGAAGTATACACAATTAGAAACGTGCATTTTTATTTTTCAAGAGTAGTGTGACTCTTAAAATACAGAATTGAACAAATAAGTAACTGCATAGGAACTTTTCTGTAAACTTGCTATATTTTGCATAAAATGAGTATTTGGTATCATACTAAGCAAATGTGAATTTATTTGTGTCAACCAAGCTTGCATGAATGAGTCACAAGTATTTTATATTTAGCAGTACCAAATAGAATCCTGGGCTTTTAAATTATTTGTAATTAGGTAATTGTGTTTGAATAGAAATTGGCCCTTATACCAAATCAGTGTGACAGTAATATGTGAAAGAACTCTGAAGTTATTAAAATCCAGATATTAAGAGGTACTACATAGTTCCTCCTGACCTCCTCAATTCCTCCTTCGCCTTCAGCATGATACCTTAACAAGTTCCTAATAGTGCTTTGCTATAAATACATCATCATATGTATCTAATTTGGACAGTTTCTAATTTGACCAGTTGTGCAAACTTACCTTTCTTTCTAACATGCAGTTAAAAATGAATATTAGCAAATAGATTCAGATATTAGAAACCCTGAAGCAGTGAGTGATCGTAATCTTGTTTTGCATCAAAATCCCTAGAGAGTTTTTTTTTAAGGTACAGATTCCCAGGTCATGCACCCAGCTACTCTGATTGGTTCAGTATGGTCCTGGAAATCTTTTTTAGCAAGAAGGCATTGGATTATTGTAGCATATAGTTCACTGCACTTGATAAAATGTGATTTTAAGTAACTAGAACATTATCTTTGATTTACACAGATTACTATAGATTAACTTTTAGCAATGATTACGTGCAAAGAATTGACCTTCCAAATAAGGGCCTTTAAAAAATAAAGCATTAAAGATAATAGCACTTTCTAAATTATGATCTTTATTATAGATTATGTCACATTAAAATATATAACATGCCAGTGACATTCATGATAACTATTTGGTATGTATTAGATACAGCAAACTGTATTGTCTTTTAAAATTGTAAACACTAATATTTATTATTATTTATTTGGAGGGAGAGAAACATTAGTTTGTTCCACTTATTTTTGCGTTCACTGGTGGCTTCTTGTGTACCCTGATCTGGGATTGAACCCACAACCTTGGCGTATTGGGATGATGCTCTAGCCATCTGAGCTACCCAGCCAGGGCAACACTGATTTATTTTAATTGTTTTTTTCTTTCTATGGATTTTTTAATTTATAGTAAAAATTTATAAATGTCTTGATATTTAAATTCTTGCTTTATATAAGAAATAATAACAGTCAAAATAAGAATGGAGTTAGATACATTATAGCAAAAAATTAGCTTGTACAGGAAGGCTCTCATTTCTGTCATTAGCCAGAAGCAGTTTATGTTGACAGTAAGATTGACATTGATCTTTAAAAAAAATCAAACTACTTGATTATTAAACAAAGTATTCAGCTCTGTTTCTAAAATTTTGTTCATAGTACCCAAACTTCTGTGCTTTGAAATAATAGTTTTCTCTTAGCCTAGGTATATCAGATGTGATTTTTCTTTAAAAATTAGCTTTGTGCTTTTATTAAAACAAGATTAAGACTACAGCACTGAGAAAGAAAAGGAACAATATATAAATGAGTATATATAAGAAACTAATATAAAAATAGTACGTATAATGAAATGGATTGGTATTTGAAGATGTCTTTTTTAAGAAAGGTGACAAAAGTGTCAGTATATAGGTTTTTAAACACAAGATAGGCAGTAAATGAGCAAAAGAGTCACATAATAAAAAGAAAAATAGTGTCCAGATATATTCCTTGGCCTCTACTTGTAAAATGGGAGTCTTTATCACTTTATTGTTACCATCAGAAGAATCTTTTTAGGTATTTTTTTAAAAAGTTCAAATTCTGATTTTCTGTGATAGAATGGTTTTAGTGAAATTTGTGAATAATTGTCATTTACTATCTTATTTATGTCATCTTCCTCATTAGTTATATAATTGTATCAGGAATTGCAGCAACTTAAGCAAATTAGGGGTTATTTTCCTCACATGACAAGAAGTGTGGTATATGGGTTTGGTATGGTATATGGGTTTCAGAATAACCAAGGTTCCCTTATCTTTCTATCCAGACAGAATTAATGTGTACTTGCTATGCCTTGTTTCTAATATGGCCTCTTCATCTCCAGGGACTTCCATTTATATCTCATTGACTAGGCCTGTGTTGAATGCATATAAGTGGATAGTTCTGAAAGCCGCTGCTTCAGCCATTAGCTTAATCCTTTGAATATATAAACCAACCCTAAATCTCCTGTTTATAAAGGCAGCTCTGAAATGCAGGGTTTTTTCCCCAGTATTTTTGTATTTTTAAAAAATACAAAATAGATACAACTTACCCCACTTATGAATGCCTGTTTTCACAGTAAGAGTGGTAAAAGTTATTCCACAAGTTCTATGAATTCTACTTATTATCTCTCCTGGAGAAACATTGCATATGCATAAGATGTGGTTAATAATGCTCACTTGAACATTATTTGTAATAGCAAAAACCTGAAAGTGGCCTAAGTACCCATCAGTAAAGGAGGCCAGCTTGGTAAACTGTTGTTTTCATGCAGTAGAATGCTGTGCAGCTCTTAAAAGAAATCCACGTATAACGATATGGGTTAGATCTATAAGACATTGTGATCTTATAGATCTATTAAATGAAGAAAATCAAGCTGCAGAACAGTGTAGAATGATGTTTAAAAACCATTATATAGAATCACTTTTAAAAACCATTATGTAGAACTACAGCAAAGGAATTTTTAATAAAAATCAATATTTGAAATAGTCATAAGGTTTTAAATCCTACAGTCTTGTTATGATTATTGTTTAGGGTTCTCGGTGCTCTTCTGATGCCAATATGCTTGGAGAGATGATGTTTGGCTCAGTAGCAATGAGCTACAAAGGATCCACCTTAAAAATTCATCAGATCCGGTAAGGAATTTTCTGATTTTTTTCTTAATGAATTAATTTAGAATAGTTAATATAAGAGAATTTCATATAGTCTTCACTCAGATTGAGCATGTCAGATTATTCAATTTATGATGTTCTATAGGTTTAATGCTGCTTCATGGCTGTTGTGACTCTGCTATGAAGTCTCTCTGAATTACACATTTTTATTTATAATAAGTCAAAAAGGTTCTTGTATTCTAGTTTTGATCTCTCTCTGTCCCTCTCTTTTTTTTTTCATAGTTCCCCTCCTCAGCTTATGCTTAGCAAAGTTTTCACTGCGCGGACTGGCAGCAGCATCTGTGGGAGTCTCAATACGTAAGTGGTTATGGATGCAGGGATAAATGAATTAAGATGTTCAAAATATGAAACTAACAGACTGCTCCCTTAAGTTTGAAAGTTTATGGAAGACAGATTCCGCCTCTTCCCCCCCCCCCC